TCTGAATGGAGCTGGATATTTCAGAAAATAGTGTGATGTGGCTTCCATGTGCCTGATGGCAATTATTCTTTGTCCTTGTAGGTTTTCTTCAAAACTGGAGTCCATTGTGGACAGGATATATTGGACAAAAGTGTTAAACATTATTTGATGTTTTTGACATTGGCTGTAAAGCTTAGTTTGCAATCAGCTGTTTCTCTGAATCCAAATAATCTCTTCTAACTTCTAAATTCAGTCTGAGAGCATCTCACCACTTATGGAGAGAAAGTAGAAAGGAAAAAAGAAAAAGCAGCTTGTAAAATCTTAGCCCAAATCACCTTTGTACAGATGAGGGCAAAGAGAAACAAAAAACAATGTCATGGACCAAGATCTTAAAAGTGAGAAATCGTCTTTCTTTTGATCTTTGCTATGAGGTGAGTTCAAGTGTTCTAACCTCTGCTCTTTGCTGCTCTCTGAAGCTCAAGCTACTGTTTAAAACTTCTTCCTTGAATATAGAAAACAAACAAACAAACAAACATGAGGAATTGTTGGCAGATGTTGCTGGCATATGGACGCACTAACTTAAGGTGACTCAGGAGTCAGCATAATTCAAGTACCATGGGAAGAGTGGGCCTCTCCCTCCAGGAGGGTTTGATTGATCATTTCTCTGCTAGAAGGAATCACAGAATCACAGAATCACCCGGGTTGGAAGGGACCCCAAGGATCATGTAGTTCCAACCCCCCTCCCTAGCAGGGCCACCAAACATAGACATTCAGATCAGGTTGCCCAGGACCCCGTCCAACCTGGCCTTAAACACATCCAAGGACGGGGCATCCACAACCTCCCTGGGCAGCCCGTTCCAGGGCCTAACCACTCTCCTAGTAAAGAACTTCCCCCTAACATCCAACCTAAATCTTCCCTCCTTCAACTTAAAACCATTTCCCCTAGTCCTGCTGTTATCAGCCCTTTTGAAGAGTTTACTCCCCTCCTGGGTGTAGGTTCCCTTCAGGTATTGATAGGCTGCAATGAATCACAGAAAGGCCTGGGTTGGAAGGCACCTTAAAGCCCACCCAGTCCCACCCTATGCTGTAGGCAGGGCTGCCACCTCCCAGCTCAGCTGCCCAGGGCTCCATCCAACCTGGCCTTGAGCACCTGCAGGGATGTGGCAAAACTTAACATTTCCCACTGGTGACTCCCATGTGTCACAGTCTCTAAGTAAATTTGCAAATAAACAACTAACTAGCAGATAAATGCATGCTTCTCTAGTGTCTGAATTGTACCATCATCTGTTGCTCTTAGAGGGAAAGCTAAACAGTGGAAGATGTTTTTCTTATGCACTTGCTTAGATGTTTCTGCTTTGGAGATCAGTAAATAGGAAGGTTAGCTCTGAAGAGGAAGACAAAATAGCATACTCTTCTGCAGCAGATTTTCTTCTGTGTCTGTGAGGCCCTATTTATTCTCTCTGCTCATGCCTGCACACACTGCACATCTTTGCTATTCGCAGGTCCATACTGGATCTTTGACTCATCCTTGGAAGAGAAAAATAATAATTAACCAGACTAGATAAAGCATTCCATTACTTCTTGCAACACTTGGAAAAGAGAGGAATAAAGTTACTTTTTCTGAGGGAATTTTGATGTACTTGCTCCACAAGAAAAAAAGGTACTACTTAACTACTTTAAGACTGTAATTGCAGCTTCCAGGGAGAGCATCTGTGCTTTTTGTGTGCAGAGTGATTTCTGGCTTGGTTATGGCCAGGGTTTGGGCGTTGTTTTCTTGTTTCTTTCTCTCATCCCCTCTTTCCTGATGAAGTGAAAACTGAGAGACTGAAATGTTAATGGTGCAAGGCATCAATGAGTGATCTACTGGAATTAGTAACAACTTATATTTTTCACTGTAAATACAGTGCTGTTGTTTTGTCATTGTTCTAAGCAAGAATCTATTCACATGGATGCAACACCTGTTACATTTGATCAGATTATCCTCACATAAAAATCCAACAGCCTTTATCATCATGCCACTTCCATTAATTTTATTTAAATATATATATATATATATATATAATGCTACTTCTGTGTAAATCTTGGAACAGTTTTGGTCATTATGGAAGTACGTACACTACTGCAGGCTGGCAACTAGGTTGCTAGCTACCTAATTTGATGTTTGTACAGGCACCGTTACTCACTATTGGACAGCATGATTTCTTGTAAGGGCTGTTAAAAATGTACCTAAATAATATGGTGCAATAAATCTGGGCTACTGCATTTTGTAGTAGTACAGCTGATATGCCAACAGTTGGAGTTGAAGTTTAGAGTTTACAAGTACATTTCCTAATCCACTTCAGTGTATTAACACTTTCACTGAATGTGTTCTATGGAGGATGCCTATGTGTCTCCTGAACATATTTACAGCATGATCCACCTTTCCTTTTCCTTTTATATGCAGTTTGGAAATAAACAGTAGAACACTTGAGGTACAATTAGGGCATTTACCTACGATCTCAGTCTTGTCTAAGCAGCAGACATACTCATAATGCAGAGATGCTGCCTCGTACTCAATGATGAGAGTACTCTGAGAGTTCAAGCAGAAATTAGCTTTTCCTTGAGAAATTTTGTATAACTACCATAGCATTTCTTCTATGCTAAAATAAATACCTCTAGAAAGCAGATTTTGGAACACACTAAGATTTTATGCAGGGGTATTGCAGCTTAATCATTCCATCTTCAAAATTTTTTTGTGTGCAAGCCCATCTTTCTCTGCAACATGTAGGCAGGCAGATACAACAGAAGCAACTACTCAGCTCTTGACAAGGACTGCGGAGGAAGCACTTGATGGCAGGATAATGGGGAAGAAGGTTAACGAGGAAGACAAGATGGGAGGAAAACACATAAACATGAGACAAAAAAAAGCAAACAATAGCCAAGAGGCAGTCTGGTAGTTTAAAGAAGCAGTCAGTGTCATCTAGGAGAAAATCAAGAGGTCAATGCACAAAACTGAGCACTTGTGTCAGCTGCTGGTGTTATCAGAAAAGGTTCTGTTCTGGACCAGTCACTGTTTGTTTCTGTACTGCTAATGGTGCTATGAGCAGTCACATCTGATGCACAAAGGTTGAATTTCTCATCCACTTTCCAGTGTTAGTCAAACTAATTTGCTCATCTTGAATTTTGAACAAAACTTTCTGACGTCAAATCCACTGCTATATGTGTTGTTCAACAAACAATTTGAGGAATACATTCACAAAAAAATGAGAGATTTTTTTTTAAATACTTAAAGGCTTTATCTGCCTATTAATGCATGTGTTCTGAATCACTTCTAGCTGCTGTTCTAAAAATCCAGCTCGTCTGATGAAACTTCATGTTTCAAATCTTTTTTTGGCACACAGGAAAAGGCTATAAATTTACTTATTGAAAACCAACTTCACTGTAATTTTGTTATTAAGAAAGCTTTGCAGAAAACTAATCAGCAGAATTACTGGAATGCTTTATTTTAATTGATCTATCTAAGGAGCATCCAGAGGTTTTTTTTTTTTTTTTTTTTTTTTTTTAAAGAGCACACTGCAAATTCAGAGGACTAAAGAAGTATTTACTAAGAATACATATACAGAAATACATTTGTCTCCCTTTCAGAATGAATAAAAACTTGTCATGCTTTCATGAGAACCTCATCCTCCAGGAAGCAGTACCCACAACCCACCTCTTACCTGTGCCCCTACAAAGTTTTCACATAGATAGCAACAAATGAGGTATCTTCATCGGCACAAACAACCAGCATCTCCGTCAGCACCAGGTAATGCTGCTCAGATACAGCTCATAAATCTTGCTGGAAATCACAAGAGAAGCAGAAGCGCTGGTTCACTAATGACTTGGAACTGGGAGAACTGTGTGCCACTTCTTGCAGGGTCTCATCAATCCACCTTCCAGCTCAGGCAGTTCTGCAACATATTTTTTGCCAGCTGTGCGTTAGCAGTTTGATAGCAAAAAAAATGTCATGCTGACATTCATGTTATTGTTTTTTGTGGTTGCCACTGACAAGAGAAGAGATATTGCCATCTGGATACTCTCAGTTGCTCAAGAGAACTGCTTCCACAATTTCAGAATTCTGACATGGCAAATTCTTTGTGGGCTTTTTTTTTTTTTTTTTTTTTTTAAATTAGCCTTATTTAATATAGGACTTTGCCAGATTACTCTTTGCAATTGCATTTTGTGACTGTTATATTCAATTTTGCAATGCACTGCAATATAACTAGATATTTCAAGGCATGAAGCCATAACAAAAATTTTAATTGCAACAGAAAAACAACTTTCCCCTCTACACCATGTGTTTGTTTAATGTCAGTTTCCCTTTGTGTATGATGAAATGACACATCCACATTCGAAACCTGAAACACTGATGAAATCTCCTGAGTATCTAAAGCTGCAGAGCTGCTTTAACAAAATAAAAGAACGCCTGTCACATTGCAGGTTCAAAAATAAAACAACTCATCAATCTACTAAAAGTCTGCCCACAGATCATTAAAAAAAAAAAAACAAAACAGCCGTAAGGAAGCCTGATGCTTTTCTCACTCAGAAGAAACTCGCCACTCCAAAGTCACTGAGAACCTTCCACTGATTTCAACAGGGTGAGCACCTCAGAGACATTCAGGACTATAATTATGCTTTAAAATTAACATTATGCACATACTTTCATGAATATGAAAACCTGAACAGGGGAAAGGCTCAAAGCAACAATTGCGAATGAAGACTCCTAAAAGAACATGCTACAGTTTGAGATCAATTACTCAGTGTTACTCAGGAAAAAAATCTAATTTTAACAGGTCAAACCTATAATTTTTTTTTTCCATAGCACGTCAAAATCTCACATTCCTGCAGATGTCAGAAAGCACTGTTAGAAATGGAGACAGATTTTGCTGACTGAACCAAAGCATAGTTTCTCAGAGTCAAAACCACTGTTTATTTTGAAATTACTCCTACATGGTTATTATCCACTTAAAAGCATAAGCAAACCTTTGGCCTTGTAGCATCTCTCTAATCATTCACACTACAAAAACAGAAATTTATGGCATCATAAGTACTTACCAAAATAAAAGACTTTTTATCTCTCAGTTTTGTTTGCAAATGTTTTATTAAAAAAAAAAAATCTTTTAATGCTATTACTCAATACATGTGTAATAATACTTGATAAAGTATCACATCATAGTAGGTATTTTGAATTGAAGAACATTATGGTTTTAACTAAATTATCAACACTCTGTTCTGCTCTATTCTGTTCTAAATTGTCATTTTTTCAAAATTTAAGCAAACTCCTTCTTTGTCAAGGTACGTCATCCTTAAGGCCTTGCAAACTTTTTAGTGATTGAACCAAAACAAAGAGAGAGCTCAGCTTTCTTAATCTAAAGAGCACTGTGCTCTTGAGCTTAAAAAAGTGCCTGTGGTTTTCAAGCAGTTAGTGGCAAATCAGCAAGAAAGAAATCGGAGGAGAAGGAGCACTTGGAAATCAAGACAATTAAAGTGCACAGTTATACTGTCCGAAATTGTATTAAGCTGATCTCAAGAACTTGCTGGACTGTGGATATTTAATACAATTTGGCTTGCAAGGAACATACAATCGGACAGAAGGATTTTCTTCCTGAAGTCATCTACAGGATTTACTGAATTCAGATTTTCAAGGGTAGCATACTGCAGCTCTTTGGATATAGACTGGTTTCCTAAGTCCACAAAAAGATGAAGAAGGGGGAAAAGGTGTGGAGGGCTGCAAGGTGTCTTTGCGCTTTCTTGGTTTTTCAGATGCCAGTACTTTCCAGCTCCCCATCCTCCAGCCCTAATGCAGCGTGCGACCTAGAAATCATAAAGAGTTTCTCTTTCTTTGTGTACTGTCTTTGAATTTGCTGAGATTGTTCCTCTGTTTGTTCTGTGCTGGTAGCCTTGAGGGGGTCCATTTTCTCAACCGGTTCCTCCTCACAGTCCTGGATTTTACTGGCTGGGGTGTTGGCAACTGACTCCAAGGAGGTGCCAGCCTCCTCCAGGTGACTGTAGCCCTTATTGCTGCTGGAAGGCTCAGACTGTGAGCTCTGGGAGTCCATCCTGGTGATGGCGGGGGGAGTTGAGGGAGGTGATTCCCCCAGGTCCAGAGATCTGGAGTGGCTAGAAGTTGCCAACAGGCTGGAGTCCAGGCCTCCCCTGACAGCTGGAGACCGAGGTGGCTCAGGAGAAAGGGGACGCCTTGCATCAGGCAAGCAGCTGGTGCTCTGCCGCCTGAGAACCAGCTTGTGCCTTCTTGTCCTGTAGCCTCCCTCGACGTGGCTGAGGTCAGTCAGGCTCAGTTCAAACTCCCCCTGTGGGATTTCCTGGGCTCCCCGCTCACCAGGAGGCCTCCGCCAGCCTCCCCCTCTGCCACTCTGCGTCAAGGGCAGAAGAGTGAAAGCACTCAACGAGGATCCAACAATGGAGCTGGCTGTGCTGCGCTGGCCCCAGCTCTCTGGTGGGCTGCAGGGCGGACTGGTGAAGGTGTGGCCAGTATGGGCAGCATGCTCCTGGTAGATGCTGTACACAGCCTCGGCCAGGCTGGGAGGCTGCGGCAAGGTGCAGAAGGAGGAACGTCGTGGCGAGGATGCTAGGTCAGGTGGGGAAAAAGAGGCAGCCAGGCCCGGTGGCCAAGAGCTCTTGGCCAGCATAGCCGCAGCACCCAGGCCTTCACCACCAGGCTTTAGCTCCAGGCCCCGTGACTGCACATAATTGACAAAGCCATTAAGAGGAGCTGAGGCGCCTCCATCCTTCGCCCGCAAACTGTGGGCATCAATAACAGTGGAATAGAGGTCCCGCAGGTTGATGATCTTGGTCTTCTTGTCACGGTTCTCATGCAATACTGCATTGGCGCAGATGAAGAGGAAGATGCCAATACCCATGATGAGGGGGCCCAAGACCTTCAGCTTGTCTGAATGCAAGTAGCTTGAGAAAACACGGAAAAGGAAACCCACTGAAGCTTGGGGGGATGAGGAAGTGGGATAGGACTGCGGGAACTCCTGGCTGATAGCAGCGGTGGAATTGGCTCTGGAAGGTGACTCCAGGTAGATCTCAGCTTGTGCCCCTTCCTGGTTCTGGGAGCGGTTCTTGAGGGTGCCACCCTGAGGGGCCAGGTGCCTGCCCTCACTAACTTCTCTGTATACCTGGCTGGACTTAGGCCAGTAGCCCACAATAGCCAAGGCGATGCCCACTAGCAGTACCAGGATGCCACAGAGGGCAATGAGCCCTGAGATGGAGCACAGCTTGAGCTTGCCTTTCACAACCACAACATCATTTTTGCGTTTCTTCTTGGCCTTACGTTTGCGTTTGGGGATTTGGCTTTGTGGTCGCAAGGGATCCTGTTTCCTAGCTGAGATCCTCAGGAGGCCTCCAGTGGCGATCATGGCTGGCTACCCAGGGCACTGCTCCCTATAGCTGCTCCAGCTCCTGCAGGGAAAAAGAGAAGAGGGTGAGGATCAGTGACAGACCTATAGCACAACAGGTGTCTCCGTTTCTTGTTCGTCCTCCATTCTCCCATTAATTAAACCCCTCAACAAGTGGGACAGTGGTAACAACAACATGGTGATCTCTCTTGTCCATGCAGCTTCTGTATGTAAGAAAGACAGGCAGACTGATGAGACAGATGATTAGGCAGTTCTGCAAAGAGAAGCAGCCCCACTAGACCCTTGGCACACAGCTAATTAATTTCTTTATACTCCAGATAAATGATAGATGGGGTAGTACCTGCTAGCATAAACAGAAAATGATCATGCTAGTCTCAGACAGTGCTTGCAAAACTCCATGCTTCAGAGGAGGCTGACAGCTTCCCTGCCCTGAAGCCCCGTTCCCACAGGTTTGGGGTTATGCCACACAGCAACTTAACCACACTGTGGTTAGTGATGTAATGCAGGAACTAGATGTGAGGTATGAAGAAAATAAAAGCAGGAAGGATTACATTTGATCTATAGATACCATTCATTTTACTACACTATTTGCACATTAGTGGTGGAGAGTTAAGCATATTACTTTTTCTAAAGGAGAGGAAAAGAAATTACTGTGAAACATGCAAGGGAAACCAGAATAATAGAAAGCAGTATCCCATGAAAGTTTCTTTCACTTCCTTAGAATTCTATCTGCAATATTAAAAAAAAATTAATCACTTGCCTGTGGTCAGGGAGTGTCAGCTGGACAGCCTCCTGCTTTGGGAACATGTGTGATGTTCAGGGCAACTGTTATGCAACCACGGCCACATCCCCCCACCTCCAGAGAGGGGAGATGGTGGCTGGTAGGTAGCATGTCACATCTTATTAAAGGAGGCGCAAACCCCTGCAAATCACCTGGGGAAAAGGCAAGGATTGCTCGTAGAGAAACTGGCAAGTGACTGAACAGCTATCATTTATAGCTTTTATTTCACTGACTGTCAGGACTCATCTGCGTGTTCCAGTGACTGAAGCCGCAAAATGCACCATGTAGGAACAATTCCTGTGCTGTTGTGATTTTTTTTTTTTTTTCCTGGACTCTCTACCCCTCACACTTCCAAGAAGAAGGCTTCCCCCCCTTGCTAACAGTCCAGTTTGGGACGGTTTAGCTTTGTTTTTTCGAGGGAACAAAAAGACGACAGCACTGAATATAATCTGGTTTATAAAGTTCAATTCATTGCACTGAAAGACAATTAAGCAAGCGCCTAAGAGGAAAATAAAAATACTTCTCGTCCTTTCCCTGTTTAGAGTTTAAATCTCATTTCTCCCCTCCTCTATTCCCAGATTTTACATGTAGGTGAGGATTCTATACCCAATTTACTCTGTTCGATTTTTTTGCTGCCAGCGAGGATGTTGTTAAATTACTCTCTGAGGTACGGCGTACTCAAAACAAAGGGCAGGAACGAGAAGTCTCTATCACCAAACTACTTACTTTAAAAACAACTAAAAAAAAAATTTTTTTTTTTTCAGTGCAGAAGTGTAATTACCGGGGCAGGATTTGCTGTAATCGCCGCTCGCTGATCTCATTCCTTCTCCTGCCCCCCCGACAGGAGCCGGTCTCTTCCACAACGACGAAAACAGATGGCAATCATTTCGGAGCTGCCTTCCTGAGACAGTACCGCCCGGCACTGAGTTTTTCCCGTTTAGAAAGGAGCGCAGAGCACGTGAAGGATGGGACCGCCAACGAGAGCACCAGCGACGGCAACAGAAGAAAACAACGCAGAGACTCGGGGACACTTCCGAAAGCTGCGGAGCGAATGCACAAGCCGATAGCGGTGCGCAGACAGCGGGCGCCCCGGGGCGCAGTTCTCACGCTGTTCTGACAGACGGACGGACGGGGAACCGAAGAGGAGAGAATCCGGGCTTCGCGCCCGTTCTTCAGGTACCGCTCGCGGAGCGAATAAACGGTCTTCGGGAGCCGGGCGGCCAGGCTGCTGGGCGCTGCTCCCGGCGGCAGGGGCCGGGGTCTCCCGAACACCGCGCAAAATGGCAGCGGCGCCGCCGAAGGCTCCGTGCCCACTTACCGAGAAAGACCGGCGAGAGGTCCGCGGCCGAGCCACAGCGGGGAAGAAACTTTCCGGCCCGAGCGGGCATCCCCGCGCGGCGCCCGCCCCGCCGCCGCCTCACCGCCCCTCACGGCCCCGGGCGGGCGGGCGGCGGGGCTGGGCCGAGCACTGGGCTCTCCCACGGCCCCGCCGCCGCCGGCCGCCTCAGGTTGCTCGGCGGGAGCGCTGCCCCCGCGCCGTGCCGCATCCTTCCCGCCGCGGGGCCGCCCCTTGGCAGCGCCCGCCCGGCGGAGCCGCCGTCTCTGCCGCTTAGGGCGGTGCGCGGCTGCCGCGACTAGCGGCCGGACTCGGAGCCGTTGCTAAGAGACGGAGCCGTGACACAGGGAAATGGCTGCAGGCCGGCCACCACCGCCCCCCCACCTGCGCACCTGCGCACCTGCGCCGGCCCGCCGCGGCCCTGCCCTCACACGGTCCGCCCCCGACCGCCCGGCCCCGCCCCGCTCCGGCCGCCACGCCCTGCCCCACCTCGGCCCGCCATGTCGTGTGTGCTGAGTCGGTGGGGTCGGGTGCTATTCGGCACTCTCTGTCCCTTTGCTTTGGGCGGCTGACCGTGCTCCTTGTGGAAGGTTGGAGACGTGCAACTCCTTCTTGTGCCTGCCCCACAGCCGCCCCTCACGCCTTGTGAGAGAAAGGTGGCACTCCCAAGCACAGGTGTAGTGGGCTTGGAGCGAGTGTCCTTTCTTGTGCTCAGCTATGGTTGTTTTTCTGGTCCAACAAGCAGCTAGCCATGGGAGAGGTGTAGCGTCTCTTCCTGTCCCTTCCTCTTAGCCTATCATTTAGCATTGTGGACCTCTCCCAGGCTGCCCGAGGGCTTGCTTCACCAGGTGGCACTCATCTTCTCCCAGCTCTCCGATTATAGGAGCTCACCAGCTGTGTGAAATCATAGAATCATGGTACCACTAAGGCTGGAAAAGACCTGCAGGAGCATCCTGTCCACCTGGCCATCTACCACCAGCATTTCCCCACTAAACCATGTTCCTTAGTACAACAGCTACCCATTTCTTGAATGCCTCCAGGGAATCTTCCATCATCTTCCATCAGTGTTGTCCCTGTGCCCTCACAGCCAGTTGTCTTTGAACCTATTTAAAAAATGCTCATCTTGAGCACAGATCTCAAGTAACAGTAGAGAGGATTTAAAAGGAAGAATGGCACATGCAGCAAGATCAAGATATTTTTTTCCCTTGAGTTTGCAGGAATTATGGGGAAGACAGCCAAGAAGCTTCTTCTGAAGGAAGATGGAAGTCAGAGCTGAGATGTGTCAACATGGTCACTGTGGATCTCACATTTTCTGCAGAGACCAGGAAACAGTATTCTGATCTGAGCATCTTTATAGAAATTTTGATTAAATGGAAGCCACATTAAGCTGTCGCACAAGTGAGATATAATCTAGCACATCCTATCATACTGCTTGTCTTATTTATTACAAGAGACTGCAGTTCATTGCTTTAGTAGAGCCTTCTTAGAGGTTCACTGTGAGCTGGGAAGGGAAATCTTAGGCAGGTATCTCAAAATGTACTGAAAACTTGACCTGTGAAACTTGGGCTTCCTACAGACATGTATTGTGTGATTTGCTGGGGTGGATGAATGGAACCCACCTTTTTTAAGTAGTCTTGGATAACTACTGAAGCTGAAGTGTGCTTAGCCTAGGCTAAAACAGCCCTCTTCTACCTCTGCTTGACCTCTTTTTGCGTGGGAGAACTCTGTTTTGTGTAACAACCTGCCAGGAACAATCAAGTAATAAATATAATTGTTATGGTTCGAAATGGTGATGTTTTGTTTTGTTGTTTTTTTTCTTTCTTTTTTTTTTTTTTAAGATCCAACACAGGGTGACAAAATTGTAGGAGAGATTATGAATATTCATTTAAGTTTTACATATTCCAGCCTCACTGATTCTGTAGTTCTATGAATTTTCATCCAGACTGCTAGTGCACGTTGTTTACCCCCAACTATCAGTGCCTGATTTGAGAACAAACAAATCCTAAATCTGTACATATGCATTTTGATCTCAGTTGCAGTCTGTCTACAGAATCACTTGGGGCACATTTCTTTTAGTACATATATAACTTTTGGTTATGCAACAGGCTTGAAATTTAAGATTTATTATTTAAGAACTTCTTATAAAAGTCTGCTTTGAACACTCTCACTGAACCTGAGCCTTCCAACATTCGATAATTTGCTTTGTGTTCAGCCCAGACTATCAGAGAAATCCAAACATATCACATCTGTTTCCACCAGAGACCTGTATCACATCAATAATGCAGCATCATCAGACTCTCCCTGAAAAGCTCCTGTGTTAGAGGGAAAACAAGAGCAAGTTTTTAAAGGGCAAAGAGCTCTTTTCCGTATCTGAGTCACATTTTCTATTTCTGCCAAACTAAACCATTCTATTTAGCTATCTTTTTATACAACAGCTTTTCCATATTTTCATTGCTAAAGTTTTGAGTGATTAGGCTATCATCACATTCACAGTTTTCAAATTTCTCCTTCCAAAATTTGATGTAGGTGAGTCCAAATCCTGGAAAAATAGAAATATGTTCTTGGATGAAAAGCTGCTGAAGACGTTATGCAGTAGCAAGCAATGCAGTCATAATTGACTCTGCATGGTAAGGACTTTGTAAGCCTACAAAGGCAGGCTGAATCCCTTAGAGAAAGTTACCAGGCTGAGTTACATATCCTTATGCATCCTACAAATTCTTCTTGTTCTTTAAGAAATACATTGGGAGCTTTAATGAAACATTTATTTTATTTTAATTGACATGGATTGTGTGTTCCCAGAAGTGGAATGGTTGCAAAAGACAGCTTTCCTATTACTCTGATTTACTAGTTGCTTGAGTTAATCTGTTACTCTGTAGTGTTTGAGCACTACTGAGCACTGCTGGCAGTTTCAGAATAAGCCTTACCTTTCTATAACTTAATGCATGATGATATTTATCATCAAACTGTGGTGAACGTAAATATTTATTAGGAATTGCAGAAAAGCCATTAGACCTGGGTTTCTCCTCTCCTCTCCTCTCCTCTCCTCTCCTCTCCTCTCCTCTCCTCTCCTCTTTTTTAAGCATATAGTTGTTTTCTTTATATTGTTTGTGCATAAGATGATAACCTTCACATGGTCCTTCTTGGAAAATGCTTCAGTACAACCACACCATCAATTTGAGTATATCCACTTGAATAAGTTCCACTCCAGGCTGGCTGAATATGTCAGCTCTAATCCAGGAGATGTGTAGCCAAGTTAATATATCTCAGCTCTCAGCAGGCCCAAGGTCCAAAAATGATTCAAAGGACAACCTGAAGTACTTGGTGTACTTACAGAAAATATTGCAGGGTCTATGTAATCCAGCCATAGACATGAGTAGAGACCCAGGGTAGAGAGAGACCTTACAAAACAAAACAGAGAGCAGGCCCTTACTAGATATACTTGCAGACTGGGCACAAGATGGAAAAAGATTCTTAGACAAGTGCTATTAAAAGCATAAGAGAGAGACATACTGCACAGACAGGTTTTCCTCAGTGATTTATCTTCACAATTTCTCAGACAGAGTAACAGAAGACTTGAAGGGTCATTTCCGTCTCAATCTACATCCTGCTACTGAGCAGAATGGCTTCCAGTCATAACAGTGGCTCTAGACTGAAAGCATGTTTTAATTTTAAATTTAGCCTTAGCTAATTTATTACAATTATAAAAATAAGAGCTGATGTACATTTTGTACGTGTGCTTCCCAAGTATACTGTGCTGCATGCCAAGGTTTACTGAGTCTTTGTTTCTGGACTTCATAGCCTCATCTTATTCAATAGCTTAAGAAGTTGTAAGAGCATCACGCTCAGCCTGAGCACTGGTCTCATAGTGTATGCTCTGCCCCATGTGAGCCCCATGTACATTTTTTTTGTTAGTACATTTCCTTTATTAGTGGAGATTCTGATTTGATTAATGACAGAGACTCTGTTATGATTAACAATGATTTGACAACCAATGCAAAGTAGCACTGTGAATGAGTTATAAGAAATCATTTTTACTGTGAAAATTTATGTTTGAAATCCTTATAGGCCTACAAGAAACAGCTTCTTTATTGTTTATTAAATTCATCTGGCTTATTTGATACATGGTAGAATCAGAGGCAACCTTTCATTGCTCAGCAAACCTGAGTCTAGAAAATCCACTGAGAGTGAATGGCAATTTGCATGTCTGCTCTTCTTTCAAAATTAATTACAGCAGAGATACACATTTCTGGGAACATTTGTCAGGGTGAAGGATCTCACAGCTATGAGATCTGGTGACTGAAAGGTAAAGGGTAAGATGATGTAAGATGTAAGATGAACAGTTTTTAGAGAAACTGCTTGTTAATCTCACTTCTCACTGACAGTCAGTTCTTCTTGACAATCTCTGTGAATAAATTTTTATTTTTATTTTTGAGACATTAATGAAACTTGCCAATTAAAAATGTACATATTTATAGAGTTGCGTCTTGCAAAAAGTCTGAAACTAGAGGAGAGAATGTTAAATGCTCCTGAGTCAGCTGTGACATGTTGCAGGAAGTCTGTGATGTTTGGACCCTCTGGTTATGAACCATGCTCAGGGCATATGTCACTCAATTGCTTTTAAATGTTCCGTGCATGACTTCTCAGTTGGCTTAAAAAGAAGTAGGAACCATTCAGCCATTTTATTTGCTTTCACTTTTGGTTTGCTGCTACTAGACAGCTGCAAACACATATACTTTTGTGTTATTATTTGTGGACATAAAAAACGTATGAAGGGTAGTCATGAATACTTCACAAACTATTGTCTGGGAAGGAAAGATCAGTGCAGTACTTCCCCCAAATCACTGCAATAAACATATATTTTCTAATGTTGTTCCCCTTTTACCTAATCCCTTGCTCTACCATGTAAGCTCTTTCAACTGGGGTCCATCCCAAAACAACTTGATCTTACAATTGCAATGACATTTCTGTGTACAGCCATTTCATGATTACTATCTCTTTATTGTTTGAACATTTTTGCTGACAATTTGAAGGTCTACAACAAATATA